CTACATCCATTACAACCATTTGGAGATCTTTCCAAATTCAACATCTGTCATTATATACAATCCAATTAAAAACTGTTTCCATATTGATTCCTACATTAATATACAAAATGCAATAATGGCTTAGTTGGGGGTATTTTTGGAATCTGAAAAGTACAATAAATCAGATTTTATGCTTAATTAGGTAACTTGCTGAGTTGGATCCTAGTCATGGGTTTTTACTTATACAAATTAGGTATTATTTATAGGAACAAAAAGTGAAGGATTTTAAGTACGGCAAATTGAATTTGAAGGGTGTAAGCCAAATTTACTATATATTTTAAATGATATAGCTGTCTTTGGAAGACTTCAAGTCGATTGGTTATATTTTGGGTTGCAAATGTCAAGAACGCCAAGTAAAAACTACGCTAAAAAGTGTTCGTCAAAGTCAGAAGGGACCCTCTGCCTTCACTCCAACGCAGAGGGAGAGAGAACATCAAAGTCATTGCCTTCTTGACCAGGGAGAGAGAGAGCTGAAAATAGACCAAGAGGGTTGGTTTGATTCAACAAGCCTCACTTCTAGAAACTTTGCGGCTTTTGAATGGAAAAATCTCTCATGCGTGTTTTTGACTATTTCATTGGAATTTCAATTAATAATTTATGCCTCTTTTCTTGCGGACTTATAAAGTGTTCACACAATAATCATAATCCCTCACAAACTCAGTTTTTGAGTGTTTCATTAAGATTCCTTGTTCCTTCAATTTTTGATCCAAGAAAATGGCAGAGGCATTAACAGAAGCTCAGATTTCTGAGTTCCAGGAAGCCTTTTGTCTAATTGACAAGGATTCAGATGGTGAGTTATGTTTTCAAGTTCCTGTCATCGTATTGTATACATCATTCCTCTCACAACTATACATCGCATTCTCTTGTTGTGCACGTGCGATGAGTTGAGTTGATGATGAGACGATAACTTAGGCAGACAAGAATTCATGTATTGAGAAGTACTGCTCGCAGAAGCACTATTATCTGAGGTAGTTTTTCTATATATTTCATTTTCTGAAAAGTGATTAACTGGCATATGCAGGCCTAATTTCCTTGGAAGAACTAGCGTCAGTGATCCAATCACTGGACGAGCATCCCACAAAAGAAGAAATCCAAGACATGATCAATGAGGTTGGTGCTGAGGGAAATGGAACAATAGATTGTGAAGAGTTCTTGAATATTATGGCAAGAAAGATGAAGGTAAATTAATCATCATAATATAAACAAAACATGTTTTTTTGGCTAATTAAGCTTTCGGAACCGGTTTAACCAATCTGTAAATCTCATCACAGGAAAATGTTGCCGAGGAGCTGAAAGAAGCCTTCAAAGTATTTGACAGAGACCAAGATGGCTATATTTCAGCCTATGAGGTAAACATACTGATTTGAGTTTTTTAATATTTTTTATGGCCTCGTTGTCAATATTTTTATTTTTATTTTTATTTGGTAGTTGAGGCAAGTTATGATAAACTTGGGAGAAAGATTGAGTGATGAGGAGGCTGAGCAAATGATCAGAGAGGCTGATGTAGATGGTGATGGTCTTGTTAGCTATGAAGAATTTGCAAGGATGATGATGCTCAGTTGATCTTTTTACTGGAGTCATAGAAATAGAAATTTTGGTCAAATTTAATCATGTGTTTAAATTAAACCCATCATTTAGGAAACCATTAACGCACATTCTGCAATTATGTTTGTAATATATAGAAAGTGCTCCTTTAGTTTCATTCTTCACAACATAATGAAGCAAATTCTCATATTTGCACAGGATTTTTGCAGGTGTGTAAAATTATTACATAATTGTTCGCGTTTAAAAAAAAAAAAAAAGTGGTTAAAATGGTTATTTTTAGAACTTCGATTCTATAAAAGGACAACAAAGAAACACTGTATGAGAAAAGGATTGTATAATAAAAATTACGAAAAATAGCTATTTGAGCACAAAGCTCTTATTTATTTATTTATTTATAATTACAGTTGCATAATTTCAGTTGTATAATCTTTTCAAAAGTGTTCACATTTTAAAGTATAACGCTAATAAAAAAATTGGGCCCAGAATTCACGCCCAATGGCGCTTGAAGAACATGCAGCCCTATATTTCATTACCCGTTACGGGACAATGACTAACTTAGAGCCAAGCCTCACACAAGCTAATATCTTCCGCCATGCTCCATGCCCCTCCTCCGGTTTCACTAGAATAACCCATAATATGATAGAGAAAAAAACAACTTGAAAGAGAGAAAAAAAAAACAACTTGAAAGTGAAAAAAATTTGACTAGAAAGTGAAAAATAGTAGAATGAGAAGAAAATGTATGAAGAGTTGGTGTTAAAAGTGAACAGTATTGGTTGGTATTTATAGAAAAAAAAATTCAGTATTTTTTTCGTATTTTTTTAAATTTTTTCCGATTTTTTTTCATTTTTTTATTGGGCAAAAAATTGCCTACCGTTGGATTGCTGGAAAAAAACTAATCGGAGAGCCCAGGAGCTTCCACGTGGCATAGAGCTGTTGGGGGTTGCTTTTTGGATTTTTTTATTCGCGAAAAAATGGCTGCTGTTGGATAATTTTAAAAAGCAAATTGGATGGCCCAGCATGCGACACGTGGAATCATGCCGTTGGGCGGCTACTGTAGCGCGCGTCAAATTTTTTTTAAACCGGGCGCGTGCATTGCACGCGTCAGCTTTAAATTTTTTTTAATAGCAGCGCTGACGTCACCCCAAAACTCGTTTTGTTGCTCGGGCTGGACCTCCCCAAGGGCTAGCCCAGGCAAATTTTTTTTGCTGGGGCCCACACCTTGCCCTGGCAGCTTTGTGTTGCTGGAAACAACATTTTCCCCCAGTCTGCTTGCTGGAAATGCTCTAAGGCCTAATCATTCAAAGCTCAGCTCGAACTTTGAGTTATGTCCTCAACTGCAAAAGGACCAATTGGCAATAATTTGCCAATAACGTTAAGGACATTATTGACTATTCAGGTTTCATTTGCACATTTTTTCTTTCTTTCTCAAAGTTAGGAAGAGAACAGGAAAAAACTCGCAGACGAGTATCATAAGAGCTTTGACATAAGAGCAACTTCACCCATTTGCCCCTTGCCATAGTAAGGGGGGGTTATGGCAGACACTATTCACATAAATAGTAGTTGCCCTTGAAAATAGTATTGTGTGTTTCCACCCGTTGCTATGGCAAAGAGTAATTACTATTCATTTTTTTATTTTTTTCACAAATTTTTTTACTTCAATAATTAATTTGGATAATATTTTCGGATAAGATTTTTGAGTTCCTACGTGTCAATACTATTCATATCTCATAATCGGATAAAATTTTCGGTTTCAAATTTCAAATTTCAAATTTTCGGATAAGATATCATGCTTCATGCCCCTCCGTTTTCAATAGAAGAAGCCATAATATGATAGAGAAAAATAAAACTTGAAAGTGAATAATAGTATAAGGAGAAGAAAATGTATGAGAATTTGGTGTTAAAAGTGAAGAGTATTTTTTGGTATTTATAGAAGAAAAAAAAATCAGTATTTTTTAAAAAAAATTCGATTTTTTTATATTTTTTGTTGCACAAAAATTGGCTGCCGTTGTATTGGAGAAAAAAATCTGATCGGAGAGCCCAGAGTGCGACACGTGACTGTAGCGGCACTGTAGCTCGATGACATCAGCACCAAAACTCAGGCTAGAGCTTGGGCCAGACTTGCCCTCGGGCCAGCCCAGGTTGTTGGGTCTCACCTTGCGCCCGGGCTTCAATTTGTTGCTAGAAACAGCTTTTTGGCCCAAACCCCCCCCCCAGACAGAGGCTTGGACTCCTCGCTGGAGTTGCTCTAAGAGCACTTAGAAGCGCACGAAAAACCTAAACGAATCCAACGAAAACCCTTTTCATTTGCGCTTTCAATCACTCAATTTTGCAACATATTGCAATGCAATGAAAACACACCAAGGCAACTTCATTTTTAACGTTCTCATGTGTGGTTTCTCAAAAAAAATAATAATTCCACACGTGTTTGAAACTGCAACAGTGTGCGCCAAACCTTACCCTCTGCTCGAGAAAAACCGCGTTTCTTCTTCTTCTCTCTCTCTCTCAACCCTAGAAATGGCAGATTCGGAATCGAACTATATCGACGAGCATTCAGCCACCTCAACAACCATAACATTCGACCGACCGATCCCGTTGCTCCGAGGACCAGTTCGGGCTGGCCCACCCGATGACCCATCCTCTGGTCCGTACGTCCTGGCGTTTCGAGACCCCAGGACATGGGCAAACGCGTACAGAGCCTGCGAGTCCAAGATCATCGAGCAGTGTGAGGCCGGCGCCAGGATCGGGTGCGCCATCAGCGCATCGGACAAGTGTAAGCCGCCGTGGTGGCGAGCTCTGATTGGTCCGAAAGCACCGGACTTGAAGGAGAGGGAGCAGTGCGAAGAGAGAGAAATGGAGGGGTGTTTGTCTGCGGCGAAAGATAAGTGCGTTGGGTTCGCGAAGGAGAAGTGCTTGAAGCCCTTTAGAGACGCGAGAATTGCTGGCCTTCATGTAAAGCAGGCTGAGAGGTTGGTTTGCTGGGCAACTGTGATGGATCGGAGCACGTGGCTCAGTTTGATTGGATTGGACAAATTGGGTTATTTTGGTTCGGGTAATTATGGATTTGGAGCAACAAATTATAGGGCTAGTGAGTTATTTGGTTCTGATTGTGATTTTGATCTTGTTTTGGGTAGTAGCAACGGGATATTGAAGGTGTGAATTTGGAGAATGGTGTTTAAAGTTGCTGAAGAAGTGTTGCTGATGAAGTGGGCATTTGCAAAGGTATGTTTGCATGAACTCTGATTCTTTGATTTACCATGAAAATAGTAGAAAAGATGCAAAGCTTTTTTGAATTTAGTATTTGAAATTTTCTGAGTATATCAAACTTATTGTGTTATAGTATTGGATCAGCTTCGTATGATTTTGCAATTGGATAGGAATTTTGCACAGATTGGGTTCTATTTAGGAATCTCTGAGACTAATGCATGTAGAGCTGAACAAGCTTTTTGTTGGATCTAATATATCTTGTCCTTCTCTTTTGATGACTTCCTTTATAACTTTCCGGATACCTTGAAATTGAGTTAATGGAGTTTGAATCCACAATGTTGCTGTTGCTGTATTTTGTTTGGTGCTCGTTGGGCTGAAAGAGCCCATTTATGACCAAAAAAAGGTTGAACATCCACACAAAACAAAATCTTTAGGCCCAAAACATCCAAAAGTTTATGGTATCTTGTACTCCACGTGCATCTACACGTTCTTCCTGGTGTGAAGTCATTCCTCATAGACGTTCTGTTTGTGCATGCTTTATCCTGAACATATTACATATGCAGATAGCTAATCTTGAAAGGATTCATTTATTTTTTTATAGGTTATCTGTGTAGACTTTTTTTTGTTTACGTATGCTTTTGTACGCAAATAGTTTCTTGAAAGCATCATTTTCATTTATAAAACAAATGAGCTACAAAGACTTTCTGCATATCTATGCTTCTTCCTTTAATATATGCAAACAGTTATCTTGAGGGGATTATTTTCTTTGTTTTAAAATATAAATGAGCTATGTATTACTTTTGGAAACTGATTTGGTTTTCTGATCTTGAATAGTTCTTTCCGTACTTTTAGGCTCCACCACTAGGTTTATGGATTCACATGAAACTTGGAAATTCTTACAAGCTATTCAACTAGGAAATTTCTGCGTCATTTAGCTGCTGACACAGTACCAAGCTGGATTGCATTATGGTCTGCTGACATGAAACAATGGAAAAAATGCAGTAGTCTTCACACAATTTCATATACAGTATATCTCTTCTATCCTGTTGGATATCTTATCTTGTGGTTCACATTTATAATAAAGGGAGCGCTATTCGCCCACACACAACGAATAACACTGGAGTTCTGAGGGTGACCGAAAGTGTGAATGGCGTTTCCCTTACAATACGTTTAGGAAAATAATAAATGAAAGTAACAACCCGATATGTCAAATAAATAATGGCGTTTACACAGTTTACACAGTTTTACACTCCACCCGATATGTCAAATAAATAATTATTGTAACAGTGAAATCATTTAAGATAAAAAAGAAAAAAAAATATAAAAAAGAAAATAATAAATGAAAGTAACAACCAATTATCTTTAAAAATAATAATATATTCATTTGAAATCTTGCTTTGATGTCAAAAATAACATCTCAACTTCCAACCTTCATTCTACATCAGCTTTGACACATCGGTTGGAGTAATGTGAGATGTTATTTCTAGTCGTTAAATGTCTATGTGGCACTTTTGACACATCGTTTGGAGATGCTCTTATAGGTTACATTTTAAACCGATGAAATACTGATTGATGATCAGTCTACCTACCATTAACATCATGGCTGCCGCTGTCAACGTTGTAAACAAAGCAAACACGGGTCAGCCGCGTAAGGAAAGATGCATAAAATATCTAGCGTTGAGTTTTCAAGCATTAACTGGAAGTTGCTAGGAAGTTGCAAAGACGGCCACACGGGAGGAGATATAGTGTACAACTTGGTTTTCGGTGGATCTCGTGATTTATGAGGTAGACCATTTTGTCCGACTGGTTGGCTTTGTAGGAAATCACCAGGAAATTGCGTTTCTTGCTAATTGTCAATTGTATTTTTGTAAAGTCGGTACTTTTTTCTGCAAAAAGAAAAGTTTTTCTGGACTAACCGAAAGGACGCAAGATAGGGATCCAATGTGGAAAGCAAGTGGAGTTTGATGGACGGAATTTGTTGCAGAAATTTACTGGTTGCTGCTTTTGTGCTTTTGTGCTTTTTAGCTTTCAGATTGGACAAAAAAAACCAAAAAAATAGAATTTGTTGCAGGAAAGATGTGAAAGATGCCGCAAAATACGATCTTTTTAGGCCATTTTCCCAAGTCCAAAACCAATCGTAATCAGCCGACTTAGCACTTTAGATTTTAAGAAGAAGATTCTATTACTAAAGAAAATTAAAAAATTAAACAAGAAACAATGGCCGTAGTTTTAAGTCTATAGATTTTTGAGTGCTTTAGTTGTTGAGGAAACATCATTGCAATTTTTGTTCATAAAAAACAGAGATGAACTTTAGTCCGGCTTGGCGGCAATTCTTTTTCCTCATACTGTTAAACATGCAAGGACAAAAGCGGACGAATATCATTGGGTCCAACGGCTACTTGAAATTTATTTATATTGAAGTTGAATGTTTTTTATTTTTTGGGTGTTATAGTTTGAATTCAAAGTTGTAAATGATACAGAAATAAATGTGTTATAATGGTAGCTAGGACATTAAAAAATTCGATAAGCTTGGGCATATTTATAATGGGTCCCCTCGAGCCGGAGATGGAGACAATGAAACAGTGATAGACAAGTATTTTTCCTCGAGCGGGGAGCAGGAGGCTTCAAACCTAAGCACCCCTCCTTATTCAATTTCCAACCTAGCCAAGAAACACGAGAAAAAGAAGAAGGAAGAAACGTTAATCTTATTAAAAGTGTTGAACTTTTTAGGTGCATTTGGCGAATGAAGGAAAGGTATAGTTAGAAACTATGAATGCTGAGGCTTCGTGTAAAACTTTAAAACGAGCACCGGCAATGTAAACAATTAAAATGGGAAAGGTCAGTAACACGTTTCCCATTTTATGGGGTCGAGTAGTATTTAATAAAATAGTGAAATAAATATCGTATGTTACGATGATTTAATTTGATAACACATCGTTTTCGCTTTATTAAAAATGCTTAGGTTTGAAGAAAAATGCACCTAAAAAGTTCAAATTCGTGTTTAAATTACTGTTTAAAGAATTGTCTTTTTTCGATAACACATCGTTTTCACTTTATTTAAGAGATCTTAAGTTCAAATTTGTGTCCCATAACATCAATGCCAGCTGCTCTCTTCTCAGTACATTTTTGGAACTTCTCTTAGAGCATCCACAGTGAGGGGTGTATATAGGGATGTATGTTAAATATACACCCTGAGTCATCGGAATCGTCTTCAATGAGGAGATGTAAATGGATGTAAATATACATCATTACCATGGGGATATAAAATAAAATGTATATTTACATTTATTTTTACATCCTTTGCAGACAGGATCTACTAGAGAAAAGAAAAGAAAAATAAAGAAAAGTCAACATAAAAGGCTGGGACCCACGGCTACACCCCCGAATTTATACCTCTCTATTGGAGCAAAAAATATGTTTACACCCCTCGGAGGTGTAAAGGGGATGTAAACGTGGCTTTACAACCCCGAATTTACATCTTCCCACTGTGAATGCTCTTACTTTCAATTCGACAGAATCCTTAGAGTAAATCTTAAGCATTTCGTTTCAATCGAGCTGGAATAACTTGGTCGATATTTTTAATAGACCCCAACCCTAGTCATTGTTTTATAGCTCTTTTGCTTCAATTTCCACTACACAGTTTTTTGTTTTGTTTTTAGTCAATGGTTCCCACCACAGTGGCGGTGCTCCCTTCTCCCGTCGCAGTTCGCACCCCAATGCAACCGAAAAAAAAATAAAATTGAATGTTTAAAAAGACTTGAGTGCATTCTGGCTCGTCTAATTTCACACGACAAAAGCAAAATCACCAATAAAAAACAAGCTGTATAGGCATTGTTATTGACCAAAATAATAGCAGCCAGAAGAATTTACCAACAGGCACTTGTCATGAAGGATTGTGGTTTATCTATAAATACAACCCAATACATATATCAGAAAGAAGTTCTTTCTATAAACTGCTCATCTTGCTGACTTTTTATCTTTTTGCTCCGCAAAACCCTTCTACTTAAAAAACAAGAACCAAAAAAGAAGTCATGTTAAGCAGCAGCAGTGATTGTAGCACATCGCTGCTTGACGACCTTGACATCAACCTCAGAGCAAAGAGGAGATGGCGCATGGCGTATCTTGCTTTACGTGTTGTTCGGGTCATGCTAGAGCTTCCTAAAGAGATTATATCCAGGGCAAGCAACTATGAAGGCGACGATGAGATTGTTCACTACAGTATTCTGTCCAACACTGAGCATGATGACGATGCAGGCATCAAAGAAATGGCCAAGGAAAAAGAGTTGGCTACTGCTCTAAGTGATCATGGAGGATTATTTACATCAGGCCTTGCAAATTCTGATTATACCAAAAGGTACTACATATGTTTCCTGGTTAAATTTTTACTCTTGCAGATGTAGGCTGTTCAAACAATTTTGTTGAACTTTACTGTATCCTAGGAAGAATTTGTTATACAGATAAAACTAATACCATAAGATAAACGAGATGTGGTATTTTCATGTGTTCGTATTGAGTATAAATTCGGACTGTAAAAAATGCATAACAAGAACTGCAATGGCGTAAGTAGAAGAAGAAGGAAATAGAGCCATTTTTGCAAGCTTGGGAACATGATCTAAGCAGAGTTTTCAACACGCTTTCCCTGTTGACCCAAATAGAAGTCATCATGAAGACCTCACTAAAAGGGACCCAAAGTCATGTAGACCGCACTTAGTGCAATCAAAGGTAATGTGGGCCTCAAATTAGGTTGGGAATTCTAATCTTTGATTTTGCCAGACTTGTGAAGATTGGGGTTTGAAAGTGGACACAATAGCCACCAATAATCAATTTGTGTATAACCCCATGTTTATCCTCCCTTTTTGATAATCTCTATGGTGATGGAACGGGTAATCGTGCCATTTTACTACTCAAACAGGCTTTTCTTTTAAATAAAACTTAAATTTTAATTAACAAGGAGACTATTTTGTTTCTCAATGGAAATATGTTTTTCGACCGCAAAAATGAAAGAATTTTTACATGGACGAGGATCGGAAGGGCAAATCCGACCCGCCTCAACCCTATTTTTACCATGAATGAAAATAGCTTAAGGTAAGAAATATGTCATTTCATTAAACCATCTCTCTTCTTTTTTCTTTTCTTTTTTTCTTCTTTTTTGGAAAGACATTTTCTATTGAGAGAAGCAATAATATACTAAACTCACACACTATACGAGTGCTAGAACTCGACCCTGTGCTAAAACGTCTCATTAAGTACACAGAATAGAACCACCACATTGAGGAAATGGTTTCCAGTACATTTCCCCTTCGGCACATGCAGTAGTACAAGAAACCTTTGATTTGGTTGGATGACCAACTGATCACGCAATTGATGGAACTTAAAATTTCCCACCGAGCTAGACTTTGGAAGGTAGCCTTTCCCCTCCACCAAGAAACTCTTGTCATAATTTTGTCTTTTCGCAATACTTTTGTTATTTATTGACCAAATAATTTTGCTTGCAAGCATATCTCATTGATCAAATAGGCAAAATGAGAATGGAGAACACCGACTGAATTTGGCTATAAAATTGAAAGCATAGCAAGATGCATATTTAGATTTAAGTTCTTAGTTTCTCTGAACTCGGATCCTCTTCTTGACTTTATTTTCCTAACTGTGAACTCTTCAAAATTCTAACTAGTGAAAAACCATGTAGCAGCCATTATGATTATGGAAGATTGCTCACAATCACCTTCACCAGAGCCAAGAAGAGATGGCGCATGGCCTTTGCAGCCATATACGCTGTCAGGGCAATGCTTTCGCTTCCCAAAGAGATTGTAGCCAAGAGAAACAACTACAAACATCACTCCGAGATCTTCCACTCTTTTTCTCACACTGCACCGGACATCGAACTAAGCACTGCCTTGGACTTGAAACCAAGAACAAAATCTCAAACTGATGCCTACGGTTTTGTCCCCAACCCTGACTTTGACCATGCAGGGCTCACAACAATGGTTAAGGAAAGGGACTTGGGTGCTGTAAACGAGTCTGGAGGAGTTATAGGCATTGCTGCTTCTCTCAGGACAAACCCTGAAAACGGAATCTATGGAAACGATTTACATATCAACAAGCGGCGCGAAGTATATGGATCAAACACCTACCACAAGCAGCCTCCAAAAGGGTTGCTCTATTTTGTGATGGACGCTTTAAAAGACACAACCATTCTGATTCTATGTGTCTGCGCAGCACTTTCTCTTGGATTTGGAATCAAAGAGCATGGGGCGAAGGAAGGCTGGTACGAGGGAGGGAGTATCTTTGTTGCTGTATTTATTGTCATTGTTGTCTCAGCTCTGAGTAACTTTAGACAAGAATTGCAATTCGACAAGTTGTCGAAAATAAGTAGCAACATCAAAGTTGAGGTACTTAGAGACAGACAGAGACAAGAAGTCTCCATTTTCGATATTGTAGTTGGAGATGTTGTGTTTCTGAAGTTGGGAGATCAAATACCTGCAGACGGATTGTTCCTAGACGGCCGTTCCTTACAAGTGGATGAATCGAGCATGACAGGAGAGAGTGACCATGTAGAAGTTGATTCTGCCAAGAACCCCTTCCTGTTGTCTGGTGCAAAGGTGTTAGACGGCTATGCCCAAATGCTCGTCACATCAGTTGGGATGAACACGGCGTGGGGCGAAATGATGAGCTCAATATCGCAGGACACAAACGAACGAACACCATTACAAGCAAGGCTTGACAAACTAACCTCTTCTATTGGAAAAGTAGGCCTTATAGTTGCTTTCCTAGTTCTGGTAGTCTTGTTGATTCGTTATTTCACCGGTAACACAAAAGATGAGTACGGAAATAAGGAGTATAGTGGTAGCAACAAAAACATAGATAATGTGTTGAACGGAGTGGTTCGAATTGTTTCTGCTGCAGTCACTATTGTGGTGGTGGCAATCCCAGAGGGTTTGCCGTTGGCGGTCACACTAACGCTAGCCTACTCAATGAAAAGAATGATGAAAGATCAGGCTATGGTCAGAAAACTACAAGCTTGTGAGACAATGGGATCAGCAACCGTTATTTGTACAGACAAAACAGGTACTTTGACAAAAAATGATATGGAAGTCACTAAGTTTTGGCTTGGCCAAGAACCTATTGAAAAACATAATTCAATCAAACAAAATGTCTCTGAATTATTCCATCAAGGAGTTGGTTTGAACACAACTGGGAGTGTTTACATACCTCTCTCAGGATCCAAACCTAACATCTCTGGCAGTCCAACAGAAAAAGCTATTCTGTATTGGGCTGTTTCAGATTTGGGCATGGACATGGAAAAAATAAAGCTTAGTTATGATATTCTTCATGTTGAAACATTTAACTCAGATAAGAAACGAAGCGGAGTTCTTATAAAGAAAAAGGAAGATAAATCCATCCATGTGCACTGGAAAGGAGCTGCTGAGATGATAGTTGCCATGTGCTCAAGTTATTATGAAACCGACGGAGCTATAAAGTCGTTGGATGAAGAAAGTAGGTCTAACATTGAGAAAATAATCCAAGGCATGGCAGCTAGCAGCCTCCGGTGCATTGCTTTTGCTCACACACAAATTTTAGAGGAAGAAATTGAATACAGCAATGATGAGAAGACTCACCCAAGGCTCAAAGAAGATGAACTGATCTTGCTAGGAGTAGTTGGTCTCAAAGATCCATGTCGACCAGGGGTCCTCGATGCCGTGAAGATCTGCAAGTCTGCAGGAGTGCAAATCAAAATGATAACGGGAGACAATGTTTTCACAGCAAAAGCCATAGCTACAGAATGCGGAATACTGCAGATTGGGGACGAAGCAAATTATGGTGAACAAGTGATAGAAGGAGTCGAGTTTCGAAACTATACAAACGAAGAGAGAATGGAAAAGGTTGATAACATCCTCGTGATGGCCAGATCTTCCCCGTTCGACAAGCTTCTGATGGTGCAATGCTTGAAGCAGAAAAATCATGTGGTTGCAGTCACAGGAGACGGCACCAACGACGCACCCGCATTGAAAGAAGCTGACATAGGACTCTCCATGGGGATCCAGGGCACCGAGGTGGCGAAAGAGAGCTCGGACATCATCATCTTGGACGACAACTTCAACTCTGTGGCCACAGTTTTGAGGTGGGGGAGATGCGTTTACAACAACATACAGAAATTCATACAATTTCAGCTTACTGTCAATGTGGCAGCTCTGGTTATCAACTTCATTGCAGCAGTTTCAGCTGGAGATGTTCCCTTAACAGCAGTTCAACTATTATGGGTGAATCTCATCATGGACACTCTTGGTGCTCTGGCTCTTGCAACCGAGCGGCCTACCAATGAGCTCATGCAGAAGCAGCCTGTTGGCCGAACCGCGCCGCTCATAACCAACATTATGTGGAGAAACCTTTTATTTCAAGCTCTGTACCAAATAGCTGTCCTCTTGATCTTGCAGTTCCGGGGAGAGTCTATCTTCAATGTCACTGGTCAAGTGAACGATACTTTGATTTTCAATACGTTTGTGCTCTGTCAAGTTTTCAACGAGTTCAATTCGAGGAGCATGGAGAAGCAGAATGTGTTCAAAGGCATTCACAGGAACAGACTGTTTATTGGGATTGTGGGGGTAACTATTCTTCTTCAAGTTGTGATGGTGGAGTTCCTCAAAAAGTTTGCAGATACAGAGAAGTTGAACTTGTTTCAATGGGTGACTTGTATTTTAATTGCAGCTGTGTCATGGCCAATTGGTTGGATTGTGAAGTGTATACCTGTCCCGGAAGAACCAGTCTTCGAAATTATCAGGAGGTCAATAGTCACATTCAAAAGAAATATGCGAGCATAGCTTGGAGACCAGGACAAGACGTCTGGTATTCGAGCGTGGAGCTCTGGCCGTGAACTTAGGGCTACAGGTCCAACATATAGAGCTCCTAGGCTCTAGATTTGGAGCTCGGCGCTCGAGGTTCATGTCCTATAATCCAGATTCCAGAGCTCGAAATTTGAGTCCCGGGTCTGGATCGAGTGTTTAAGGTTTGAGGCCCAGAGCCCATGCTTGGGGCTTTTAGGTCATGTTTAGTGGGCTGGATTGGACTGGACAAATTTAACGGCTTCTTAGATATAGATCCATTTTCATTTAGATACAATAGATATAGGATACTAATTGGACTCTCTTCAATTGCAGCCCTCCCAATCAATTGAATGGCCAGGTAAGCAAACTTTGTAGCTACCATATTCGAGACATTTACAATAATGACATTGGTTGAAATTAACAAGTACATGCAACTACCACTTTTAAATATGGCTTATTTATGTACATGCCTCATGTGCTTTTAAACTTGTCTCAGATTACCACATGGACTTTGAAACATCTCAAAATATCTCCACACTTTTAAAAACGGTCTCACGTTATCCATTCCGTCAGTATTATAGACGTTCTGTTACGTGCTTTGGGGTCTACTTCGTTTCAATCCTTAACATTGGAGAATAAGGATTTTTCAGCTTCAGAAAAGGGAAAAGGGGGTATTTGGAGAAGAAGGCTAGGGCTTATCCATTCAATCTGCAAGTCTGAAAAATTTGGGAAATTTGGAAATTTGGCGGTGATTGACTAGATATGGACATGTGACATAGTATGCTTGCCTTAGAATGAGTGGCATTGTGTGTAATTTTGATATTTTTTAATGATATTTTTGTAAAATTAGGTACCACATTTTGGTTTTAGCCTTGTGCTAATTAGATAAAATTGTATTCATATCTTCCAAATTAGTAAACTATATTGTGTTTTAAAACTAAACCTCCCTAAAAAAAAATTTACCTTCTTGGTTATACATATAGAATTTCCACTCAAGTATAATAAAGCAACCCCCTTTTTTTTTATTTGGATGGTTTTTTTTCAATTTGCAGATAAACAATAACCCATCAAGTATAGAACAATTTCCATTCTGTAAAATCTAGTTCTCATTGTATTCACATTTCAAAGGAGTAAACTTTACTTATTATTGTGTCAGATTAATTACCAAACTGAAAAGGAAAAAAAGAAAAGAAAAGGCAAATGCAAAAACATAAGAAGGGAAATGAAAACTCACTGCACAGCTTCATTTTCATACTGCCATGGCCTTCTTTCAATACAGTCGATCGAGAGAGAGAGAGAGAGAGAGAGAGAGAGAGAGAGATTGTATTAGGAAAAGACCGGCGATAAAGGTAAAGAAGCCGTGGTGTGTTGTATTGTATCAAAGGCTAAATATGCTGACGTGGCAAAACCCCTTGAGTGATTGTTTGAAGCACAACTGCAATCCGAAAAGTCAATAATACCCATTCCGCTTTGGTCATGTAGAAGGGCAACAACGACATTGTCTATTTTGCATTATTCAAGAATTGGCCCCATGGTATATTGTTGTCTTATTGGAAATTATTTGCCGTTTGGACCTTTTCAGTTGAGGACAAATATTTGATTTTGTAAATGCATTTAGATGCTGCCACGTACACACGGTACTGTATCTGTACATGGGTATTTCTTGCCCCGCCCGTTACCTTATGGGCCCGTCACTAACAACGTCCACTTTCATGACCCACTTTTTTTTATCTTCTTCTTCTTCTTCATCATATTTCTTCTTTAATTCTACGCCCATCTTTTATGTTCATTTTTTTTCTTCATATATATATTTTTTGGTAGAGACTTTAGCTACACATTCTCTGCACATAGTTAAAGAAATATTGTGATCGAATAATGACTGCCATATGCAAAAATTCATAATAGAAATATACATTTTCAATGATACAAGCGATAGCGGGTTCGAATTTGAGACAATTAGTCTGCAAGTCAAGGTTATTTTCCATTGGAATATACCTTGTTGGCAACGCAGGCAAAGTTAGACACCAAGTACAAACATGTAGGGCAGAAATTTCACAAGCATTTTAATTCTTGAAAAGATTAAACAAAGATATCAAAGAGACTTATTAAAAGTATATACATGATGGAACAGCAGAAGCTTTATAATGGCTTTCGCCCGCTCCTCCATAGATTGCCTGTGACTGTCTCCCCCCCCCCCCCCCCCCCTTGTTATGCATTCTTTTACAGATGTCACCATTTAAATTGTTCTTGAACAAAACCAATACATTAAACTAAATTAAAAAGGCAATGCAATCAAAGGCTTTATTATGCAGAATAAGGACTTATTAAGATAAGATTGGAATCTCAAAAGCACCAGACATTTTTGGGTTGGAGAAATTCTGTCACTCTAAACCCTAACAATTTTGGGTAGGAAAGATTCCCCAGCATGCGCTCATACTTCCATAGCTCAAGATCATTCTCATTGGTCAAGTCAAGACTTTCTTTTGCAAAATAAAGTTCTGCTGAAATTGGCCAACAAAAGAACATGTGGATTAGACTTAGACTAACTATTCCAACCAAAGGATGAACAAAAACAAATGCTTGATTAAAATTAAACTTACCACAAAGTTAGATCCTACAAGTGGAGGCTCAACAGGAAGCCAAATAATACTGAGGAAAAAGAAAAAGGACAGGGGAAGGGGAAAAAAAAAACGATGGAACAGTACCATGGTACTCAAATGAAAAGTAAATTAGAGCAAAATAAAGGACTACCCAAATGAGAAAAAACACATAAAGAGACTAGCCTGATAGTGTAGGGGCTAGAATTGTGAAAGCAAAGTTCGTTTTCGTGATCCCGTCAACAGGTGAAGCTACCACATGATCTGATCTTTCCTTGACTGGCCAAGAGGGAAGTTTAGATCATGCTGGCAGCTTCAACTGCTAGTGGTCCACGAGAAGCAAGCAAAACCATATCCATGTGAGGAAGAGAGAGAGAGAGAGAGAGAGAGGGGGGGGAGGAGGGAGGAGGGAGGCAGAGGTCTCTGGTTTTTCTTTAGGTCTGGGATGTGTTTGGAGAAGAGGAGAAGAGAGTGATATAAATAGAGGCCAAAGAATTCCTGTGTTGAGTCTTGTGGTGATTTTGTAATTATTAGGGGACTAGAAAAGAGAATTAGTATTGTGATCAATTTAATTATGATCAGAACAGATGGCAGTGGTCCAAAGTAAGACAAATTGAATATTATCAGGCTTATGCCACCACCATGCAGACAAGGCAGTGACCTCTTGTAATTTTCACCTTGAGCTTTTATCCACTTTAAGTGGGTATCTCCTTCACAACATACATGAACCAAAAAAGAGTTAAAAACACAATGAGTTTAATGGGGACCATTGGCACGCTTCTTAGCAAATTTAGGAGAAAAGGAAAGGAAGCATCTCAACCAAAACAAGTGCATGTGACCACCCTCTCTCTCTCTCTCTCTCCCCCCAACTTGGTTTCATGCATTTTAAGTGATCTTACCTTTGTTAATTAGGGTGAACTTAGACATTCTAATCCCACACGAATGGTTTAATAATAAAAGATGAGTATGAGTATGAGATGAGTTGTAAATTCGGATATATTTTAGTTCAAAACTTACAAGCACAAAAATATCAACATGATATAAATGTATACAGTGATATGCAATTTGCGAGTGATTACACGTACTAACGATGGATGATAAAGTAAGTAAATAGTGAGATTTTCCCTAAAATAGAAAATGGAGCTTACTTTATTAAAATGGAATGTGATTTGTGGAAATGCTTGAACCTTGAGAACATAATTGGTGTCAGCTGCACATTAAAAACAAGGTAGAAAAATGACAATGCCATGAATTAGGTAACGTTTGGGAGTCCAATGTGTAAAGTGAACAATCTGAGACCAGCAAATAGGAAAACGATTTGTATTTATATGATCTGATAAAGTTGGGTATGACATTGACATTCTGTTGCTTTGAATTTGTTTTGATCCCCTTGGTAGGTTTAGGGGCAGATGGAACCAATAGATGCATGCAGAGTCATCCAAGTGAGAAAGTATCGAAAAGTGGAAAAACAAAATATTCTAAAGAAAAAGTTCCCAACATATTGGCTTGATTCGGATACAACTTACAAGAACTCATGATTAACTATGCATTCTCTTTTAAAAAAATATATCTCAATTGCAAGGAAGCAGCTTTTCATTGGTCTCAAAATTTATAAATATTTGTTGGCTTCGTCGAAAGAGCAACTTGGAACTTTTATTTATTTACTGGTTCAGTTAAAGCTAGTTGGATGTTGTAGTCGGTATAAGGATCTTTCTGGTTATATATGATACTCATATATCAAACCCCACCCTCATCACTTTTTTCCATCTCATATCATCAAGTTCAGATATGCGTGTGCGAGAAACCTCATCCTCTTTAATTTAGATTATCGTTTGTATTAAAAAAATATCAAAGGTCAAATCAGGGTAACTTAACTGCGAATTGACTGGGCCAAAACCTCCTCCAAATTTTTACAATGTTTGTGCAAAACATAGAAATGAATGTATATAAAATATTTACAATGTTTGTGCACTAATAAATTTCCTGCGGTTGCCTTCAGATCCTTGTTCAGCATAATTTTCTCTTGCTGTCCTCCTTCCTTTTACTGTTAGGCAGTCGGTTCCCTATTTCCAATCACACAACAATACATGGTCATCCCATTCAAAATTGTATGTTCCAAATTACAAATCTTATCATCTAACCAGTTTAGGATCTGAATTACAAGCATCAGTTTAGAATTATAAAAAAATAAAAAGAAGATTGATTTAGGATCTGGTTGAGGGATATTAACATACCTTTCAAGGAGGGTCATTTGTACTACTTGGGATTAGGTTAATGAGCAGTTTATTAAGTTTAAAAAAAAGGGAAAGCAAAGAGAAAAGCTGGGCGCAAAAAGAGAAAGTTAGAACGCATGCTAAGAATGACAAAATGAATCTTAGAGCAGGGGAATATACTATACTTACAGTGATTTCTCATGCCTGCTTTATACTGCTTTCTTCTTTCAAAGTTGGAGTGGTTGGCTACTATGTATTTTGGGTCCCAAATGGGAAGGAGTGAGGCTGTCAGAGCATGACCTAGCTAGGGTTACCAATGAACTATCTATATAGATATATGTATGATAACTGTAACCAAAGCTAGATCATGCTGGCAGCTTCACTTTTTCCCTTGTGACTTTCTTTCTTTGCGCAGAGACTAGGTCAACTCCTGTTCTCATGACTGTGAGGATGAACAAAAAGAGAATGAATCTACAGCAAGGGGTAGAGCATAGAAGAGAGAGAGGAAAGAGAAAGTACAAGTTTATGAAATATTGCATGAACCCTTCTCTATTTAAAAAACTAATCTTTGCAAATGCTAACCAAAATCAAAGAAAAAAGAAACAAAAACATAACCCTTCTGTACATGATCAAAACAAAGAGGAGAGGGGAAGAACAGCATAGAGCTTAGGCAAGGGGACGTATGTCTGGGAGGAGAATGGTAAACTGGAGGAGGGCATGTGTTAATATATATAGTGGGGGAAATGAGACAGATGTTAAAGAGACGCACAAAGAGGTTCACAAAAACCTAACCCCCCCCTCTTCTTTCCTCCTCTCGTGAAACAGTGAATTAAAGAGGCATTATCATGTGGACAGCGCCAAAGAGAAAAAGACTGAAAGAGATATACAGCTAAGAAGCAAACAATTGCAGAGCTATGTAGGCAGTAGCTAGCTAGCTAGATGTGATTTATAACAGCTAAGGCAGTGTTCTAGGGTCACAGGTGGAAGAAATATAGAGCGGCAGTGCAGGGGCAGAGAAGGACTCTGAGCCCTGAGTCTCTCTCTCAACAAAAAAAAAAAACAAACAGAAGTAGACTGTGGGCTAGAAGGGTTATACCAAAAAGTCCAAAACACGATTCAAAGACACTGTTATACTGCAATTATTGGGTTGACAAAAGAATTTTGATTTAAAATTTCAATACAACTAATTTTTTTCATTGTATTTATTTGTTTTGGATTTGCAGGGCCATCGCAATAATTTACACATGTCTCTCCATTCGATGGCACTGAGTAGTCAGTTGTCAATTGATCATGCTAAATTTTCCGTTATGTTTTGATATTACAGGTCACTGCTGCTGCATCTGAGTTTTTTCTTTCTTTCTCATATAAAACGTTAAAAAACTTTATTGATTTTGATTAGACATCTATGAAAAAAACTGTAAATTGACATGTTAAGGTAAATGGTAGAAATCTTAAGGTTGAAATTCTTGTAAACAAAAGGAATTCCACAATCAAATTGACATCATGGTCTTGTTTGTGATATTTGAATAATAATAAAAATTGTACGTTTTACAATAACAAATGTAATAATAACTGAATAGTTTTAATAGTAAAACACTTACCAGTTACCTCCAATTAAAAACTAAAGAAATCCAATAACGTGAGGAGGATCATAGCACCATGGTCAACAGATCGGACGCTGAATAATGAGGCTGTGAGCTGTGACTGCCAAAGATTTGACATTGGTCTTATTTTCTGACGAGGGTTGGGTGGAGGAGGCTGGTGAATGTGAAAAAGACAACAAACAACAACAAAAATAATGCGAATTAAAGCCGTTGATCTGATTCATCAGTGCGTGTTTCGATGGAAATGGAGATCAAAGCTGCCCTGAAAACCTATGAAGGCCAGGGCTTGTAGTAGATATGCAGGCTTCGAAAAGTACAAAATTTTGCCATCCCCCTTTTTTCTTTTTTCTTTTTTTAAGCCCCCCAAATGAAAAATACAATTTGGGTTTGATACGAATTGACTAGTCTGATCCCAATTAATTTGGATTGGTGCACTTACATTTTTTTATTTTTTTTTATTTTTAATATGTCCTCTCTGGTCAAAATAATTTCAACTTTACTGATCAATCAATAAACAAACGAAAAGAACATAAATTTCTCCTAGTTCCTGGTGGTTACATCTGAAATGGGAGTAAATGCATGAGTTGGGTTGGCTGTAAGTATCCAGTCTGGATCTGCTGCATATAGGGTAGGGTGGTGGTCCCCATTGCTTGCCCTGTTAGCCTGCTGCATATTTAGTGAGGGAAAAAGAAGAAGATAGAGAAACCTTTTATTTCTCTTGGTATGCTAAAATTACATTTATTTTGGCTGCACAAGATCTGCGCTCATTAAGCCAACAGCAGAGCCAATATAGCTAGCTACAACAATTGATTTCACATGTTTATGGATTTGCCACTTTTGACGAAAATAATCCACAATTATTTCTGTTTCTCGTAAGATTATCCCATCTGCATAACAAGCAACCAAACATTACAAATAGTGACATTGCCACCCCCCCTCCCCACCCTCTAATAAATCAACTAGAAATATGGTTGATTTTGATGAATATGAGAACCTAACTGTACAGTTTCATGAACTCTGGCATTTTCCTACTATTTGAAAGTATAAGGTTTCTGAATTTACATCGAAACCCATTCTCACTATGTTGTCCCATTGTAATATCTCCTTCGATGGCTGCTTAAAAGCAACATAAACCAATTCCAACAGCTCTTTCTTGGGATGCAAGGTTGGACTCAAATATGGTTTTGGAGAAGTTCTTAATGCAAGTCGAACTTTTAAGTTTCTTTCAACTACGTTGCTCATTCTCTCTGCGCAGACGGAAAGCAGAGAACTCTCAGGTGAAACCAAAGCTCCTGCTGATCACTATTTCAATGATCACCACAGCTGTGGTAATTCAAAGACGTCCATACTTTCCAAGACAGTTCAATTTCAATACAATGTTTAACCGTCACCAGAAATCGCCACAAGAACAAATCCCATCCTCAAAATGATGAAATCTATTGGCATCCCTCACTACAAGCACTTGCCTAAAAACTTTTGAAACTAGTTTAATGAAATGATGGCAATCACCACAAACCCGAAGGTTCTTTGTGATTCGGATAGGGGTTCCCTCAGGAGATTTAAGCAGACCATATGCAATGGCCAGCCTTTCACTGTGTCCATAAAGCATCTGAACTTTCTCTTCTTCCTCCACATTGTGCAAAACATATTTGGTTTGAGCCACATAGTCTACTTCTCTCTCCAACTTCTCAGTCATTTGAGCTAATTTTTGGTAAATCTCATTGGACTGAGGATGAGATTTATCCCTCGCTGTGAATGTATGAACCTTGTTTCCAATCTCAATCCAACTACATCCCGGATTTTTCTTCAACCCAATTCCCTTCATTCTCATCCTCACTTCTTCTACATCTTTCCATCTTCTGCTAGCAGCAAACATATTTGATACAAGCACATAATTTCCTGGATTCTCCGTGCCCAACTCTAAGATCTTCTTTGCTGCAATTTCTCCTAATTCTTTGTTAGAATGAACCCGGCAAGCACCAAGGAGAGCACACCATACTTCAGCAGTAGGTTCACTCTGCATGCCATTCACAAAATGGTATGCCTCTTCCAAGCGATTAGCACGACTAAGAAGATCAACCATGCAGGCAGAATGTTCTGCCCATGGCTCTAATTGATATTCAGATCTCATGATTTCATATAATCTTTTACCCTCATCAATCAAGCCCGAATGACTGCAGGCATATAGAAGAGCCAGAAATGTAATATGATCAGGAACAATTCTTTCACCTTCCATCTTCTTGAATAAATCAATAGCTGCCTTGCCATTACCATGCATGCCATACGCATTAATCATGGTGGTCCATAAAATTAGACTTTTATTTCTAATACAGTTATGTACCTTGTATGCATTCTCCAAAGTTCCAGAGCGGGCATACATATCCACTAGAGAGCTACCAAGAGATCCTTCTAAGATGAAGCCCTTCCTAAGAAGAAAACCATGAATTTCTTTCCCTTTCTTCAAAGCAGATAAGCTAGCAACAGCTGATAGTATGCTAACAAGTGCTATAGAATCAGGTTCAACGTTTGTTTCTTTCATGAGGTGACAGAGCTCAAGGGCCTCATTTGCAAGCCCACTATGAACATTGCAAGATATCATGCTCGTCCAAGACACAACATCTTTGGATTCAATCAATTCGAACATCCGGTTTGCATATTCTATGTATCCACACTCTCCATATAGGTTGACAAATGCATTTTGTAAGACAAGATCGAATAAACCTCTCCTCATAGTGTAACCATGTATTTCTTTTATCAAAGAAACACATTTCAATGCACCACAAACCAGTAAAATAATTTCCACCATCATTGCATCAGCATCCAGCCCTACCGCCTGCACCTTCCGGCACAATTCTAAGGCCCTCGTGTGACAATTGTTCTGAGCGTAGCCAGCAATAATAGTTGTCCAAGAAATGAAGTCTATGTTTGGCATCTTTTCAAAAGCATGGCCCATGAAGTTCACACAACCACACCTAGCATACATATCTATCAGTGTGTTCCCAAGCTGCAAATCAGAATCGAATCCATTTTTTATCGCATAAGCATGAACTTCCATTCCAGACAATAGATATCCTAATCGACCAGATGCTGCAAGGATATTTATTAGTGAAACCAGGTCAGGTTTTTCATCAGTACTCTGCATATCATCGAACAACTGCAGAGTCTCATTATATAGACCATTTTGGGCAAAACCAGAGAGCATGGTATTCCATGAGACAATATCCTTGGCATCCAGGTCATTAAAGATTATGGCAGCCTTGTCCGTTTTACCGCATCTTAGGTACATAGCAAGCAAAGAATTTGCCACGTAAATATCTAAGCAGTGACCCGATTTCATAACAGCAGCATGGATCTCCATACCAAGTTTATCAGAAAAAGAGTCCTCACAGGCTTGAAGAGCAGCAACAAAAGTGTATGTGTTTGGCGTAAGACGCATCCTTTGCATTTCTCGAAATAGTTCCAATGCTTCAACAGATTGCCCATTCGCTGAATATGCTGAAATAATAGAATTCCAGGACACAATATCCTCTTTTTCTTTCATGCCATCAAATAACTTCCTCGCCCCATCAAGATCATTGCAGCTTGCATACATAGAAGCTAGTGAGTTGGCAACAAATGTTACCTTATTATACCCGTATTTGATAGCCACACCATGAATTTCCGTCCCAGAGCAGACATTATTAAGCGCAACACATGCTTTCAGTATACAAGGGAAAGTACAAGAATCAAGAGGAACCTCCAAAACCCGCATGTCCCTATACAGCTCAAGAGCTTTTAAAGGTTTGCCATTTGAAGCATAAGCACCAATCATTGCGTTCCAAGTAAAAATGGTTCTATGGCACATTCTACCAAACACGTTCTCCGCGTTCAAAAGGGAGCCACATTTCCCGTACATAAATACAAGCTTAGTACTGAGAAACACAGAATCATATAAATCACAAGATTTTATCAAATGGGCATGAACTTGTTGCCCTTCTGACAGAGCTTTCTTGTTCGCACAGAGCTCAAGGACAGGAGAATAAGCCCCATCTAGAGAAAGCTTAAGTGATGAATTTTGAAGTTTGAGCAAACTGCCCAGTGACTGAAAAGCTTCCTTGAGGCTTCCTTGGTCGCAAACTTCCTTCAAGGAAGGTAATTTAATGGGGTTTTGAGAAACTTTGAAGAATTGGAGAGCTGGGTTTGCCTGAGCTTTCTTCAACACTGGGACGGGGTGGACTTGTACGGCCGAAGAAGTGAAGTAACAGTGCTGGGCTGAAGCAGCCATCACAGAGGACGTGCATGGAAAACGCAAGCGCTGCGCGGGACAATATTGTAAGCACATAAGGAGCGTAAAGGCTGTGCCAGCACCATGCGCGTTTTAGAACGATAACGATGAACTCTCCATAAATTCAACGAGAGTGAACAAATGGAAACCACCCATATTTTGCTTCGTTATTCTCCATTCGGTAATAAATTTTACATTAATGGCATGTTTACTAATCCGTAATTGAATTAGGAGTAATTAAATTGAGAATGAATTGAATTGAGGAGTTAGATTGAGGAGAATTAGATTCCGAATTCCTAATAAAATTGTTTACTAAATCATATGGATTGCAGACCAAAAAAAAAAAGGGAGTTTCACTAAAACACCCAAAATGGGTGTTGAAATTATAAAAAAACCCAAGCACTATTTAAACATATAAACACACCCAAAAAGTTGACTTTGGGGTTAATTTTGGGTGTGTTTCTATGTTTAAATAATGCTTGAGTTTTTTTATAAATACATGTCTAGGATTGGATTTATTTATAAATTTGTAAAAAAAAAAAATCATATGAATTGAGGGGAGTTAGATTCCAGATTCCTATTGAAGTTGTTTACTAAATTATATGAAATTGGGGTAGAAATTATATTAATTATTAAAATATCCTCGTTGTTGGGTTAAAGTAGATGGCATATTTGAAAATTGTGTAAGGATATAATGAGTTAAAAAGATGAATTCCTAATGAGTTAATTCTCCATGAATTAAAATATCATCTCTCACCCAATAATTGTATTCCTCTAAAATCAAGAATTCAATTCCTAATTTTGTGTAAACCCCACTTACTTTTCAATTTCTTGATGTGAAGTAAACACATGAATCCTCTATAGGTGGAATTCAATTCCTGATGAGAATTCCAATATCTAATTAATAAACACAACGTAAAGTCTTATAATCAATTAGGAAGTGGGATGTAGATGTTTTTCTCCTTACCCAAAACTAAAGAAAAATGATCGAGATGTAATAAAATGTGTGTGAATGTACAATCTTTAAATGTTGAGGCTCAAAATCCGAGAGAGATGATACATTTCACAAAAAGAAATGGGCAATAAGTGCCCATAATGC